ACACACACACACACACACACACACACACACACACACACACACACACAGAGAAAGAGCTGCCAGTTTAAAACACCTAGCTAAAGCTTAAATGATTAGTTAGTCAATAAGTTCATCTAAATTCACAATCAGTTCGTCTTTTCATTAATTCTTCCAGCAAAAATGCACAACAGTTACTTCTCAAGTAGAAGGACTTTGTGCTTTTCTTTGTTATACGACAGTAAACTGAACATCATTAGAGGTTGATGTTTAGTCTCACACAAAACAACTTGAATATGAAGTTCTTATTGAATTTTTCAGATATTTGAAAGGACCTGGGGCGTTATGTGGTTTGTGCCAAAGCCATTCAGCTATCGACACGCCCCCCAATTAACTGTCAGATTAATCAATAATATAACAAATATATACTTTATATTAGTGGTGCTGTTGAGATGTACAGGATTCAAATATCTAACTGAGCGGACAAAACATAAAAAAATACATCTCAGAATCGCACAATTCAACTGCACCACAAACCATAACCTCACAAAAATGACCATAAAGTAGAATCAACACCTCTTCACCAACAAAAACTGAACATTATAACCTCCATGAAGGTATTTTAGAGAGTATTACATCATCAATCCAGCGTTTATTACAGCAGCTGACTCAACAACACTTCTGCTAACATATTTTCCAACATCAGCATCACTGCAAAAGTTGACCTTTACTCCAGTCTTTAGACATATCTGCTGTCTCTTACACAATAAGCTGGTGTTTTTCTAACAGGTTAAACTTTACTGAGATACAGGCCTCAGATAAGACCATTGATCGAGTGTATTCCTGTACAGAGCTGCAGGTTAGATTCAAGTTGTTTGGGCTGTTAATAAGTATAACGTGTTCCACCCCTGAGCATACATACACTACATAAACATAGTGTTAAAGCGTAGTGTCGCATAGATGCATTATCTCATAAGCAAAGTGCATCACAAGCTGCTGCAGCAGTAAAATCCTACCAGGGCTGCTATTTATAGTACATTAATAACTTCCTCAACGTCAGTCTTAATTGCCGTTTTCCCATGCATGCTTTTACTTAAACTCTCGTTTACAATGATGGCTTTGTTTTTCGTTTTTTTCCTACCCCTTCATATAACTTAAAATCATTCCGTGTTTCAATCAGTTTACCACATGCAATAAATACAGATACGGTTATAAAGAAAACTGCAATCATCATCATTAGGTTTGTCCAGATTAAATGAATAATCGTTTAGTCTACAACATGTTCATAAATAGGTGAAAATGAATGTATTCATTTCCTTAAGACCAAGTCCATGTCTTTTTTTAGAGCTTGTTTTGTCACCAAAAAAATATAAATTTACTATCACACAAGACAATCAACATCAGCAAAGCCTCACACATATAACAAGCTGGAACCTGGGACTGGTATTTAAACAATAAATCGACTATAAGAAGAGTTTGCAGATTAATAAACGCTCTACAATGTTACAAAATTAACTTCATATAATACTTCCCTGCACTTATTTATGTTTAATATATATTACCTGAATATACAGTATGTGTGGACACGAATGTGTGCATGCACAATAATGAAAGTGTGCACCCAGTACCCTAAATACATACTCATGCCTATAGTCCACCATAGGAGAGACCAAATCCGTCCTAATGCATGGCAATGGACGGGGATACGATTATGCTTTTATGTTTTTCAGAGAGCCCAGAAATTGAAAGTCAGATCCCACAAACGACGTTATTACACCCACAAATCTATTCACCAGACGCGCTGTGCCACCAAACACCAGAACATTCCTGCGCAGAAGTGTTTTCATATGACCGAGCTGTGTAAAATGATGAAGCTACCCAGAACCTGTCTAGAAGAGAAAACGAAACTAACGGCTACAGTTTCCCAAAAAAAAAAACTTCAGGGACCCAAAAACAAGAGGATTGTAAACGTTATGTTTTCTGAACACGGTTGTGTACAAATAACCGTGTTCACAACCAGGTGACATCTCACATTCCTGATGCAGAAAGCACACAAACCTACAGTAAACGAGTATAATATAGCATATGTATAGTATTACATATTAAAACAAGTGACATTAATTCGGTTTTGTTCGTGGCGCCTATAAACCCTCAATGATTTAATAATTTACGACAGTTTTTCCATTTTCTTCCGTCTCCGAGTTGGAGCCACAGATGTGATGGAACTGAACTGCCTCTCCGATGCTAGCCGTTAGCCGTTAGCTCCCGATGAACACAAATGAAGCAACAAACGGTTTAACAACCGCCGTGCACGCCAACATTGGCCTCTAAATGAAGACATGGCTGTGGCATATGCATTAATAAACCAAGTGCAATCCCTTCTTAATAAAGCAAGACAATACAAAAGCGTCAGACACAGTTAGCTTAGCATTTTAGCTACTGAGATGCTGAGTGAACCAGAAGAAGCGACGTTAGCATAGCGAGCTAATGGAGCTAACCTTACCAGGTCAACACGAACAGGACAGCGGAGCGAGATGCATCAATTTCTGGATGTGTTGCTGTAGTCGACGGTCCGGAGAGAGATGATAACTTCGATGCGATCAAAGCAGACGGAGCAGAAATATCGTCGGGATCATTGCAAAGACACTCGACATTACTGTGGTTCCTGTTTAGTTTTTTGCTCGGATGCCCGTTTTTGCAGGTCGTTGCTTAGCGAGTCTCTCTCTCTCTCTCACACACACACGCACACACACTCTCACACACACATACACACACCCTCAATGGACGAACCTGCCAGATACTGGCCCCGCCTCTCTTACACTGAACACAGCGGGAGACAGCTGCCAAATACTGACCCCGCCTAGCGGACAGCTAACTTAACGCATACCAACAGAGAAAAAATGTTTCTTTAATGTATGTGGGATTTATTTTTGTCTCCATTGAAGTTGAACCAACTACGTCACAAATTATGTAGAGAGTACATGTGGGCTACTCAAGTACTGTATTTTGAAGTACTTTACATGAGTATTTGCATTTTCTGCTACTTTTTTACTTCTACTCCACTACACTTCAGAGGCAAATATTTTACTTTTTACTTTAAGCATTAGTTAGTGACTTTGTACATTACAAAATATAATCAACACATACATGATGATATATTATTATGGTTAAGATAAGACTCCTTGGTGAAATTCCCCACTAAAAATGTTAATGGCTGCAATATTAAAGTGATGTACACCTTATTGCATCACTACTTATAATCCGGTAAAATACATTATTCTGAAATGGGCCATTCTGCATAATGACTACTTTTATCTTTGGTACTTATACTTTGGCAAAAGTAAGGCTTTGAATGCATGACTTTTACTTGTAACAGTATTTCTACACTGTGGTATTGCTACTTTTTCTTCAGTAAAAGATCTGCATACTCCTACCACTGTTCATACCACCTCGGTTTGTGTGCATTGTTTTGTTTAAATGTAGTTTTGACTGATTACAAAGTACACCACTCTTGAAGTCCTATAGGTAAACACAGGGCGGTTAACACTCACTTACAATGTATCATGACAGGAATGACTGAGACCTTTGAGAACCAGAAGCTCTGGTTTAGGGGCCCCCTGAGCCCCGGGCCCTCTGGGCCCCCAGTAGGCCCGTTGACCCGAGGTGGAGGAACAGATTTTCCAGAGGGCAGTAGAGTAACCTAAGACATTGTTTATGATTTATTAAAGTACTCAACAGTCTTTACACGATGCAAAAACTGTTTAATTTGTTACAGTTTTACACATTATGTCAAATATACTAGATTAAGTTAGTCTGAAGTTCTAAATACAGGCATAAACTTTTATTTTTCTCCATTCATAAATAACATTTAATATTATTTGTGAAACCACGGTCATGTGTGTACCTGTCATTGACAAACAATGTGATAAATGTAGGATTCTTGAAATTGAGTTTTACTGACATTGATTTTATAAATGGCTCCCCAGAAAATTTCAACACATTTTTTTGCCTATATTACCTCAATATGTACGTGTGAATTAATCTCTTTCTGTATATACAAGTATGCACAACATGTGTACAAACCCCAATCACTGAAATATTTAGGTGACAGCTAACCTATCTCTGTGTTTACTCTTAACAATCATTACAATAACTGTCTGCTGCTCTTCGCTTGATATAAATCAGTTGGTATGTACCGCCACCTGGTGGACGGCTCGTCTCACAGCACTTCAACTTGAAAGCTCTCCATCTTCCTTCCTCTTCACACATCCGCAACATCTTTGTGTCAGTTTTCAATCCCATCAATCAAACACAAACATGAGCTGCTCTATAGACACTTTATTGCTGTGTTTATTGTTTTACACTCAGTGGAATGTTTAACTGTGTGTTTGGTGGGCCGGTCCAAACACTCACCCTCCAAATATCTGTTACCAAACCAAGATTTAAATAGCAAAAAAACAACTATAATGCAGTAATACAATATACACGATGCTATAAAGTCTTAAGGTGAATTCATTCTCACTAACATATAGGCTATACTGGTCCATTTACAAAATTATTTTTTAATATATATTGATTTATAAGATATAAAACAAGAGCAATGCACATTCTTCAAAAGGTAAAGAAAACATGGTGTTTTTGTATATATGCAGATATAGTTGCGTGTGAATTCTGTTTGGTGGCAACAAAACAACACCCAACAGTGATTATTACCAAGTGTGTCCACAGCATACAGAATAACAGGACAGTTATTGTTCAAGAGATCTACAGGAGGAGATATCATCACCATAAAATAATGACACAGTTCATAGCCCATTTTAAATGATAATGTATTTCTGTTATTGTCAATAAATCCCATGAAAAAGAAAAATTAAAACCAACAATGAGTCCATCCTTTTAACAAGTATTTTCTGTATCAAAGGCCTGATTTAGCTGATTTCTCTGTAGCGCAGATCTCCAAAGTTGTCAAAAAACACATCGATGAGCCTCACTGTTGCACCTGGTGATACTTTTCTTTCTTATCATAAACATGGTCCCTGTAGTTTATTTAGAGTCACCATCTGTTGCCACTCAGCAGAGCCCCCAATATGTATTCATACGCAGCTGAATATAGTCCCCAACAAATATACCATTTACTTCTGTTTGAGTGACGTTTGCTAAAAACTACAGTGCCCAGATGTTTTAGAAGTTATCTAGCCTTTTTTTGAACTCTGCATTTATTCCTGACTTGTTTTTATTAATGTACGTCTCCAATAGGAATGAATGGGTTTGGCACTGAGTGATTTTGAATATTTCCATGGGATATATATTTACATTAACAACAAACTAGAATACCACCAGCCTTATCCTTTCAGGATGCTGTCATACGTAGCTCAATACAGCGGTCATGTAGGCAGTTTGTATGAGATATTGCTTCATTACACATTTATTGGAACTACAAAACTTTTCAACCAGTGAAAGCATATAAAAGATAGTCCTTCGTTGATGTAAACTGCAGACAGTCTCGCTTTCTCAGTGTATTTAATGAACTCCAATGGTCAAAATCCACTGTATGCAGGGATGGCACAAATTAACTATTGGCATTCTTTAATATCTATTGAAACTACACTCTGCCAGTTGATTAGATCATATTTTACAAAATTGGTGCTGCAGAGTAGTTTTTGTTTGACACACATGACTAGCATGGATATGGCACACACACACACACACACACACACACACACACACACACACACACACACACACACACACACAGTGGCTCCGTCTATCTGACGGAACAATAGCAACTTCTGTATTATGTGTAACCGCTCACTGACCGCCCCTCTACAAATACAGAGAATCAGATTTATTGAGGAGCTTCACGGCTACATTTTGACTACAACCTCTTGAACACGGGTGACCAGCTCCTAAATGTTGGCATTGTACAAATATCTTCTCCGTCATAGTGAATAAAGACGAGTGAAACTCTCAACAACTGAAACACCCACACTGTATTTTCTTATTTTTTTTTGTTGAAAGGAAGGTTTGCCCGTTTCTTCAGAATGACTCATTCTTGACTTTGAAAGAAGCCTAAAAGCAAAAGAGAAGTCCCTTTAAGTAACAACTGAACAAACCTACAGCTGCGTGAACACAGATGGCGGTCGCTCGTCCACTATTTGACAAGTATAACTACAGATGTAAAGACTGGAGTGGTGAGTGACTGTAACTAGAACGAGCCCACCAGCTTATATATATATATATACGAACTAAAGATGCTCGACAGATCTCAGGCAGAAGAGGGAAGAAGTACAGTTTGTTTGCAGATCACATCTTGTACTTCGCAAAAAACAGTCCAGGTGGTATTTTCGTCTTTTTTTTTTGTCTCACTTGATCCACATGTGCCGAGGTTTTAGGCTTCATACACCCTGAGGAAGAAACAAAAGAAGAGTTAGTTTATTTGTGATTTAATCTTAAGATTGACTCCTTTAGTTGTTGTCTTCTGCCAGCATCATTAGCCTCCTTCACCAGGTGTTTTCCTGTAGTTTCTTGCATTTCATTTGTTAGCCTTGTGGATAAAAGTGGAAGGACATCGTTTAATCACCCTGTAAACCCACGGAGTCCCTCTGCAAACTTTTTTGTCTGTGGCTGACCCTGACCTCTCACCTCTCCGTGGAGGTCAAATGAGAGGAGACATTTCAAGAAAACAAATCAATAAAGCTTTACATAGTCAACTCAGGGCATGTGGTCAGCACAGCAGAAGGAGTTATAGAAATCGAATAGGAGAGAATCAGATGCTAACATCGATTATGAGCCTTTTTGTGTTGTGTCGTACTAAATGTCTTATTGTATAAACTCCACATAGGGGCAGCAGAAACGAGCTGTGAACATTGGTATGTTTTTAAGTTGATACATTTGCCTTTTTGTGCATCCAGTTGTCTTGGAGCAAGATTAGCATTGATTTTGAGTTGTGTTTCTTGTCATCTGATGAATAGAAATCCATTATTTACTCTCCCTTTGGCTCTGTTTGTGGTCTCTACCGACCCCTGAGAGAAATATCTGACTCTTAGATGATAAATGCTCCACTACATTCACCAGCTAGTCTCTAAAAACAAGAGACTATAAAGCTCTGTAGAGCTGAGGGGAACTGCACAGTCAGACATAACACACAGTCATTTGATCCATTGTAAATATTGACTATAGCTGCATTGAATGATAACTATTGATGTCACAGTCATTTTTTTTGCATGATTAGGTTATTTTTGCAAACTGCATGCTGACTAGAGCTAACTAGAACAGCCACAACAATATTTATGACAATATTTGTCCAACAATGACGCTCATTGACTCTTTTGTCTTCAGCTTCTGAAGTTTTAAATGTTTTCTCTCGTCATCTTGTGCTTACCTTCAAGACAATGCATCTTAACCCCTCAGCCACAAAGATGGTGAACATAACACAATTACAGGGTGTAGGATAAGGAATTACAGCAGGAATTAAAACTCTAGTAAAACAAATGATTATCTGATTATTACCTGTGCTTGTCCTTCCAGATGCGGAACCATTTGACCAGATTCTTGGTGCTCTGAAGTTTGGGATGAAGACAATACTCCTGCCCTTTGAACCGAGCCATGTTCTCCATCGTCACACTGGGAGGACGAGCAAAGAAGAAGAGACGAAAAACAAACAAACAGAGATGATAGAAAGTAAAAGAATCTCCTGTTATTATCAAAATATAAGAATACAAACATTCATAATCGTATGCACTCCCACAGCAGTTCAATTTAAGTGTGTACGGTTCAGAAAGACAGTTGCTGTTATTTCATGTTCGTCATAAACTGGAGCTGAAGTTTTTCAGCTCCAGAAATAACACAAATACAAGACAGCCGGCTGAACTTTCAATATATTCACTAATAATACGATGGTACCACAAATAGCTTGCTACTGTTGAGTGATTTAGAGAAAAAAAAGTTTTATTTTATATTTCGATACCAATAATTTGACACCAAAATAGTTAATTTAAACTGCACAATATGTTTGGAGAAATAGACAACTGTGTTGTCTTCAATAGTTTGAGAGAAGGTTGAGATCAACAGGAGCCAAGTTAAAGTGAATGTATTTTTGTACGAATAACAATGGAGCTGAATGGAGAGAAAATACTGATTGGGGGGCATTTAAAACGATCTGAAAGGCACTGTGAGTAGTTCGAATAGAAACTGGTCACTTTGTAGCACATTTGACATGTTTTTGCCCCAAATTTGAACCTGCATTCAATAACATTCGCGCAGTTCAAAAAGATCAGCCTTCACAGGGAGGTCGGTTACTTGGCAATGGAGGAATATTATGGAGCTGCCACTAAAAAATGTGACATCGAGGCTCATTGAATCAATCGGTCCGTCTGTAACCCTCCGCTTAAGGCGACGCCAGAGACAGTCTGCCTGCATGTGGCACATTCAGGCTAAACAAGGGAGATGTGGGAAAAAAACACCCAGCATGCCATGGGGCCTCTCCATCCAGTGACACACTCAAAGGCTTCGCCAAACCATGAATGCTAAATAAGTTGACTGGGAGAGAAAAGACTTGACTCTCAATAAAAACACTGCATTCAGTAGTTATAAAGATGTAGGTCAAAGAGTTTTGCATCTGCTTTCCTGCTCCTTCAGTTGCCACTTTGTTTGGCCATTGAGAGGCAGCTGTACACGCTTTGATATGGAGGCACTGAGCTTCGAGTGTGTGTTTGACAGAGACCAGATTAAAGTGCTTTTGTATGTGTGCACGCCAAAGGACTCATATCTTCGAAGCCCATAATGATAAACACACCCTGAATGTTTATCCGTGGCTGCTGAGCGGAGGTGAAATTTGAGCTTTGGTTCCTCCTCATTATCATTCACCTGGGCAGCTGCAGGGCAGCGACCGGCTCTAATGTGGTTAGCAAAATGTTTCATAAGCACAGGGGGAGGAAGGAAAGGCTCTGAGCGAGTCAGAAGAAGAATGTAAGGAAAAATAAAGGAAGTTATGTTCATGAAGTGAACTGCAGCATTTCCATATTCTGCTACTTTATTCTTCTTCTTCACTACTTTAAAAGGGGAAATATTGTACTTTTTTATTTTATTGAATTAATTTGACAGCTACAAGTTACTTATGATTAACAATAAGATTTTTAACATGAATCATTAGAATCAGTAAAACTAATCCCACAATATAATGTCACTCTCTAAAATTCTGCATACTTTTAATACATTTTGCTGATAATGCTGCTGTACTTTTACTTCGGTGACATTTTTGAATGCATGACTTTTACTTGTAACGGAGTGTTTATCTAGTTTATATGTGGTATCAAGGCAGCGAGAGAAACTGATGAAGAGGGTCACCAATAAGATACAGAAAGAGTGATAGGAATGAAAAGAGGGTGAAAAGGAATATAAAAGAGAGTATCAAGTAGGGAAAAAACCCTGAATGGAAAAGAGAAGGAAAGAGAAAAGGGAGAGAAAGAAAAGAAAAGAGGAGGAAACAGGGTCACTGTGTGGCCCAGAGCTTGTGTAAGTGGTTGAGGAGTGGTAGCCCAGAATGCCAAACTGAGCGCCGTGAGCCAAACGGCCACAACAAAGGCCAGAGGGGGACTCTGCTCATTTCTCTCTTACCCTCCTTGTTTCTGGGGCTTTCCGGAGCCCACTAAGGCTTATTTTTCACTGGGCACCAGCTGCTGGTGGCCCCCCATCTCATGCTAATAGAGTAGCCTTAAATAACGGCTGTGCGGCGGGAAACGCGCACCCACACAAAAACAGACCTGGGAGCATAAGTTGACCAATTCTAGCACTTCTAGTGTGTTTTTTGTTGTTGTTTTTGGGCTGCATAGTCTTTGAAAACATATCTATTGTCCTTTAAAATCATTTTAGTCACATATACATACTGTACACACAGCAAAACACTATAACGTTATTAGTGTTTCTGTGCATTATTCAGACTTGTGACTTGACTCCTGACTTATTCTGACAAAATTCAACCTTTTTAATCAACCTACGTCACTTTAATGTTAGGTTGCTTTAATAATAGTTGCTCATTATAGAACATCAACTTTAAAAACAGTACCTGGGCTCCAACAACTCTGTCTATTATCTTTTTAATTGATCACCTCACCACAAAATGTCGCAAAATAATGAAAAGCGCACATTACAAGTTCCCAGAGCCCACGGCAACATATTCAAATTGTTTGTTTTGTACGGCCTAAAATCCACAATCCAAAAATAGTTAATCTAAAATGCTTTAAAGCTGGAAAGTATGTATAAAGAGCGGAGTAGGTCAAACCAGCAAACTGTAAAGCATTCATTACTGACTTAAATGATAAATACGTCACTAAAATTGTTAAAATCCAGTAACTAAAAGACTATTAGACTAATCGCTGCAGTATTGACAATACTGAAATCTATGGGATCCATGTAATATGATTAATCTAATGTCCATTAGGAAAAGTTGACTGCTATAATCTGTACACTCCATTATTACAAAGAGCAATAGATACAGGAGATGCTTCAATCAGATTTTCATCAATGTTTTGGTGTTCAGTTAATTGCACAATAAATATTCTTAAATTAAAGGTTTTAAATATAACCAGTGTTCAGTCAAAACATTTTGATCTCTTATAGAGACATTGACTAACTTTCATTACCTGGAGACTTATTTAAACCTCATAATCCACCATGTACCTAACCTTAACCTCGAACAATGCCTTAACTTTAAAACATAATGACCTACATTGTACTGACTTGTATTTTTGTCCCTAAAGGAAACACATTCATGCCATTATGTCACATCCACATGATCCGTTTTTTCAGTGTTCTCAGTGTAAAATTGTAATTTGCCAGCAGGTGGCAGCACAGTTTGTGCCTTGAGCCAAAAACGGACTCTGGTGAGGCTGACATAACATCCCAATCTGTTGTCCCTTCATGTCGCTTTGACATGAAACTTCAAATGAATTCCACACGGAAATCACGGCTCATATTTCTGGCAACGTACGAAACTTCATCCCCAGGAGTTGACCTAAGATCATAATGAAAACAAAGATATTCTACACACTGTAGGCTATATGTTAAAGTTTATTTATTCAAAGTTTTCTATCCGAGCGCCACAGGACACTCTGAGTGTGTTCGGACCCCTCTGGAAGAAGAGGCCTAGTTATCATGCTGCATTCCAGCAAACTGTGTGTGACACAGCGGTTTGAGATGCAATAATCCACCAGAAAAGTAGAAGTTTTGAGACAATCAGTGACAGGATCTTAACTGTGTGATAATTGTCTGGAAATTAAGCTTGAGCCTTCCTTAGATAGTCATGTAGAAACTTCTGGAAAGTTGTGTTTCTTTTCTCCCCACCTTTCCAACTATAAATAATTCCTCGCTCCTGACTTTCGGGGTGCCATCAGTTAATCATCACACTGTAAATCCTCCAAAGTGCTTTAAGCAAAAGACGACAGGATGTTTTGATTATCCCTCTGCGACTGCCAAATATTTTTATGGTCATGGCGAAGTCGCGGCTGTGGAGTTAATCCGCGTGTCAGGCAGGTACAAATACGGTTATATCATGACGTGTGGTGCATACCAGCACAGGTATAAAATAAAGAGAAACAGGTATATGAAAAGAGATTGGTGGGAAAAGGTCAAGGGTATAAAGGAAAAGACGGATAAGAAGGATAAAGAGGAAAGAGGGGGAAAAGACAGAAAATACAATGCAGGAGAGGAAGAAGAGGTAGAAGGTCAGCAAGGAAAGGGCAGAGACGGACAAGACAAACAATAAAGAGACCAAGCAGAAAGAAAGGGAATAAAAGTCTCACTCACAATATCATCTTCTCTTGGCAGAACGGATGTTTGGGTTTGATCTCCAGCTTCTGCACATCCTTGTATCTGATCTTTGGTCCTTTTCTGGTGCACCTGCACTTGTAGGCTGTCGAGAAACCAAACACACAGGTGTGTCAGACAACACGTAACTCAATGAACTTGTAATGCTGCGGGATTTAATGGAGACTGATTGTGTGGCAGATTATTAAAGTTAGTCACAGTGACATTGAAGTGATAGAAAAGTGAAGTTTTTGTGATTTGTCAGCTCTGAATCAGCCCCTCGGTTTATCTTTATGTCACACACTGACAACCAGGGCCAATATTAAAGGCTTAATTAGTTTAAATTATAGATTAAGTCACATATAAACATGTTATTTAATATACTTTTGGCATAAATTGTGTGTTACTTCAGAATCTACTGTTCGGTGCAAGTCAGCATATGAACTGATTTGCTATGTTATCCAATGCAGCTCAGAGGATTTATGAATTCACACTGAATTGATTCAAGTTAGGCAGAAAGAACCTCTGGTTTCAACAGAAACCCCAGTTTTGATGCTGCTTTTCTATAAGACACATTAAGAGCTTTAACGGAGGCGAAACGTGCAGTCACAAAATATTTGTTTCAGTCCAACATCTTCTGGAGGTCCAGTTTTCTAGTTGTTGTGACTTTATGCTGCAGAATAATGACAGAGGAGTTCTGCTGGGTTGTATATTTGTTATAGGAGGTGATGACCTGGATGGTCCAAGGTTTCCTTCATCCATCACCTGCTTTCTGTCCTCACCGCCGGCCATTAAATCTGTCTCGAGCTCCACACTGGAGCCAGCACAGACACACTGGACAACAACAGCTCCCAACACTGAGCTCGATGTATCCATGCTGTGTAATGAGGTTTTTAATGGGCGTAAATGGCTTCAGTCTATAGAGGGTCTACTTCCGAAAGACATGCACCTGATTACTCATATATATCCTGTCATCTAGGTGATGACGATAATAAAACTAGAAATTGAAGTGACTTTGAAAGTGTAAGTTGATCGTTTGCAAGTTATTGGTTTCTCCTCTTTTTGCACCAAACTATGATGCAACAGCATGCTAGGACATTCACACAATATGTGCTTTTCAAAGAGCTGACTAACAATACACTGTCTTTCCTTAAAAGTCATTTATTTGCAGATATATAAGTTATAAATGGATTCTATTGAAGTTTTGAAGGGTGTTTTTTGCTCAAAACATTTTCATTGAAATCTGTTTTTCATAACAATGGCATTCCTCAACCCCCCCACTCTCCATGAAAATTGGCGTATAATTCTTCCAGTTACATATGGTGAGCTTCATTTGTCTTGCTAGAAACGCAGTCCCAGAGTGGCGTTCAGGGTGTAAATAGGCTTGTGAATGCCAGCACACGGCTCATCTGATTTTTCACACCATAGTATGAAATCTATGTTGTAACATGGTGGGGTAACATTACGCTCTTCTCAATGTTCTCAGTGTTTATAGATCAAATAAAGCAAAGAACAAAGTGCTGAGTTGAAGCAGGTGGCATAATGTCAACATAGTTATTTTGTGACCATTTATGCAAGCAAACACACCACTGAGGCACTTTCACTAAACTGTTGTTTTCACAACCTGCGCTGCAAATTAGAGTTGGCATCAACTTTACTCACAAACACTTGACGGGAAAACAGATTTTAAGCTTAATTCCATTCATGCACACATGAAACAAAGCAAAGCAGGCGTCATATACGACTCCAGCTGTTGTTTGTTTTTCAGTCACATCAACATTACTTCAACGCAAACACAGTACAGATTACAAACTTCAACTAAAAATGAAAGAATTAAAAAAAAAAGCATTTTTAGTTTACCTTCTGTGCTCAGGACGTACAAGGCCACCACTAACAAAAGTAGCACCGCTGTGCACCGATGCATGTTTTCACAAGTAAAACAAAAATATATGTTGTTTTAAAAAAAAGCAAGCTCCAGAAAAATCCGAACTCTCGAAAACACACGGGGGAAAAAAATGAACACAAGTCTTTCGAGGTGCAGATAAAATCCACTTGCAGTGACTGTTTGGATGTCAGAGCTGAAGGAGCTGCTGAGGGGTTTCTGCTTCTGTTTTTTTCCTTTTGGAGCGCTGATTGTGCAACTCCGTCTGTGCGTCTGAGGCGCTTGGATGAACCTCCGATCTCCAAACTCGTTTAGGTCGGTCTCTCTCTCTCTCTCTCTCTCTCTCTCTCTCTCTCTGTAGAGAGGCAGGCAGCAGCTCTTTTAAAAGCAGCCCGCTGTCTTCTTCTCATTTATATGCGCGGCCACACAGCGAATCAAACACTTGTGGCCTGAGAGGGAGAAGTGGAGAACATGGAAAGGGAGGGAGGGAGGGAGGGAGGGAGCGAAAATAACTAAATAACACACATTTTGTTTATCAAAAACGAGGGTGGAAGGACGTGTGATTTGATGGACGGTGTTGGTTGAACTCCCTCTGTAACCGTTCAGCTTCTGTCCTGATCATAACTGACAGAAGCAGCTATTAACGTCACACTGAGGCGATTGGCAACGAGCGCAGACCGTTTGAACGTGACAACGACGTAAACACATATAAGTTATTTTTTTGTTGCCTCTGGTGAGATAATACACTCTGCAGTGTCCTAAAATATTAAAACGAATAACAAAAAATAAGCAAAGAACGCCACATCGCGTAGCAGAGTGTAGTTTCCTCTGCTGAGTTATTTACAGGCAACTTTTTAAAGTGGAGGGATGAACATTCCTGGTCCTTTTTACTACCATTTCTACATCATCTCATAATCCTGAATACATAAGAACCAAGTAACCAGCCGTTTCGAAGAGATTTGATGAATCACAACTTTGTTTAATGCATGTGTTATTGAAAACATATACACAGGTCAAATAATACATTTAGGTGGAGTTAACACATTATTTTCATTTTCTCTTCTCAGTAAAACAAACAGAATCTAAGCTAGCCTTTCCTATTAGATTTAATGTTACATTTAGGCTACAAATATCAGATCAATACGGACATTCAGGCTTCCTCGTGTGGCTCAAAGGTGTACTGCAGATACAAATCAAAAATAACAGATTATGGAAGAAATTCTGCAAATTTATTTGGCAACCCAAATAAAATCTGCTGTTACGCACATATGGGTCCCGAGGCCAGACTTTGGTAATACATTTTATCTTGTGAACATGAATAAATGCCGCCATTGTATCTGGGGATGCCATCAGGCTGAACCATTGGCCTGTAAGAGATAGCCCTGAGAAGAGGGTCTGACCCCACCCACCTGGGACGCTCTGACCACAGGATTAAACCGGATTCATCACCGTCCGGCATCATGAAGGATTTGTGTGTGTGTGTTTGTGTGCCTTCTCTCTATGTGTGTGTGTGTGTGTGTGTGTGTGTTTGTGTTCACTTCCCTGCCCTCAACGCTGATGCAATCAGCTGCTGTCATCACTCAAACCAGCGGCCATGAAATGTCTGTCTGCACCATGGACCGTTGTGTGTGTGTGTGTACAGTTTGTCCATGCCTACATAGTTGTGAGTGTGTATGTACATAAGTACAAGCATGTACATCTTTAAAACCGCTGCCTATTTTGCAGACTACATGTGCAGCCTGAGAAGGGAGCAAATCAACTGAGAATCCATCTTGAATTCAGCATCTTGCTTTAAACAGCAACAAGGGACCTTTGCCAATCCTTCCTTGGGTCCTCTGGTTATCCAGTAAAAGACAGACATGACGGCATCTATCATTTAGAGCAAACTGTGACGGATTAAGATGTATACGCGGCCCCTGCAGGACACCGATGCTGTGAGAATCCATCCCGAGTCATTTTGATCCCAGGATAAAAGACATCGGTGAGCTGTCTGTTCCGGTCTTTAGCTGAAGTGACTGATAATCAGTCGGACATGTGTTGTCTGGATCCATTAGATCACTTCAGCTTCACCGAAGACCAAAGGGAAGAAAGAAATTGAAGTTAAATAAATAGACTGCAGATGATTTTGGCCAAAAAGAATCTGTCTTGAAATGTCGATGAAAATCACATCATCTGTCATTTTTGATCAGCCAAATACGCTGCTGGTTGAGAGAAAGTTCTATTTCATGATCCCTAACTGAAACATCATTGTGAACATTGAATTCACAATTTCCCGAACAAATAATTGGTAATCAAATTTGGAAAGCCCTAAAGCAGTTTTTTTCATTTCCGATGTTCCTTCACAGCTCCATCAGATAAAGACAAGCACTCCTTCATCCACACCAGTCCATTATGTTCCTAATGTTCTACAGATCAGCATCCCTCCAATTGTAACTTCATTTGAGTTTTCATTTTCCTCCTAAACATAGATAAATGGCTATGTATTTATTTTTTCAGTTATAATTTCATAGTTTTTTTAAATTAGCTGAGCTGCTCCAGATTTTTTCCACGTACTGCCCGGTAACTGAATCACTGCCTTAAACAGGGGCGTTTCTGGGATTCAAAGACAGGGGGGGCTTAGCCCCAAGGGGAGTGGCATGTTTGCGCGCAGTGTGCGGCAATTTTTTTGGGGCCCATTTGGGGCCGTGGATATCCATTGTTTCAGACAGTTCATAGATTGGTTCAATCAGAAAGAGTGTGATTTTACTCTGTAGTTTTGCTTGCATTCAGTATATGATAACACAAGAGACAGAATTTCAGGGTCATTGTGAAATTTGACAACACAAATATGAACTTTTCTCAAATAAAGAGAAATAATTGTCCTGCTTGTAAAGGAAAGACGGATAAACTAGCTTTCATATCCGCGTCACTCCCAAATCCTAATTCTTAAAGGGACCGCACACAATGGATGGAGAATGGACCTGACAGTGTCAACTTTATATCGTTAAGTATGATGATAGGCTGTTAGATTGTAATTTGAAGGGGGAGAAAACATACAAACCAGAACGCACACACATATGTAGCATGTTAGAGTTATAAATAACTTGTCCATGTGAGAAACAATAGTTTAATTTAATGGCATCACCAAAAAAAAAAAAAAAAAAATTTTTTTTTAAATTAAAACCAAATTATTTGGGGGGGCTGAAGAACATTTTAGGGGGGCTTCAGCCCCCCTAAAATAGCCCTAACGATGCCCCTGGCCTTAAAGTACTTCCGTTTTACTTAAAATGAACTCTTCAGATGAAGCAGAGACCATAAGAGACGCTGCAGAGTGTTGAGCAGTTCAAAATGGGAGAAAATCGAGTTATGAATGCATATTTCTTGTTCCATGAAACGAGGCATGTATCAAATTTGTCTAAACTCATTGCCAATAGAATCCATAACCGATTGTTTCAATAATCCCAAAGACCCACTGTATCAAGTTTTTGTTTCCTATAAAACAGCAAATATTAACGACTGTTTTTAATTTAGTGGTAAAACAAAATAATAGAAAACCTAATATCAAATCCTTTCTCCAGCCTGACGCATCACTATGAATTTCAGAAGAGGCAATAAACACCTCATATTCTGACACTTTGCAGTATAAAAAGATTTTTCCTTTACTTGATCAAGTGGGACAGCTGTTTTGTGGTAGTGGCTGTCAGAATACTTTGGCTACGCTGCCAGCCCCTCTGGCCACCTCTCCTATTCTTTCAACATGACTGAATTCATCACATAGAGAAGGACTGCATCTGGTTACACAAACCTGGGCTCCATTTGTCTCGGCGGTCTAACTTGCACCGAGTGTAATGGCTTTTAGTGGACTTGGCTGTGGCACAAATGCAGACCTAATTCACAGGGAAATAGTACAGTTTACCCCAAAAGTCAAACATGGCAGAGGGTGTGTGAAGTGTGGTGGGGCTGTTTACTTTGGAGTGACTTGTTGCAGAAGTGAGAAGAGACAGAGAGTATATTTGTGAGTGATGTGTGTTGGCAGCCTGAGTGTCTATATCTAAATACAGGCCGCAGTCTGTAAATAAAACACAAAATCTCTGCAGGGTGATTATAACATCATCAATGCATAAACTATTTGTATGCTACTGCCTCAAAGTAGCTCAATGTTGCCTCCAAATGAAGTGTGATATGTTTGAATAATTACTGTTAACATATCAGTCTGACATGATGGCAGCTTGTATGATAGAGATGCTGTTAAAACACTGACCTTCATGACCCCAAGTGCATGCTTCCTTTGGGACACAAAAGAATCCAACAGATTTCTTCGGATTTCTTGTAAATCTTGGTGGCACACAAGAAATGAGACATCCATCTTTTGAACATTGTGATACCTCTTGATGTAAAATGTTAAATTTCAATCTTGATTGAAACAAATCTGTGGTTGGTTTGAGGAAAGATGGAAAACCTACATCCTTGCTTTGAAAGGAGAGATTAAGAATGATGTCTACCGTAGAACTACAACAGAAGTAGAGCGGACATTCCAATTAAAAATCTCTAAACATGAATTCCTGCCTGTTCTCATTAAAGCTGGATTTACTCTGTCTGAGGTCGAGGTCTGGACCTCAGGCAGTAGAGACCTGTTATTACTGTTTGTCCACTGTGTAACGGACTGTCTTTTGAAGTCGGGTAATTATAGCTAATCCTCACTTCGGGGAAGTTCGGGGGTTAAGATTAGAGGAGTGGGTGTCAGGAAGTGATCGTAGCAAACAAAGACTCATCACACGTACCATTTTATAAACCTGTGTGTATGTGGTAGTTCAGATGAATAAAACCCTTATTTGACTGACTTTGAATATGTGGAAATGAAGCCTAACACATGTGTATTACACCATGGAAAGGAATAAGACTTTCATTGTTTCGTTACATATATTTTGGCAAATTAGTGTCAGGTCAACAGCCACTATCTATCGTAGAGTTCTACTTTGCATTCTGTTTATTTGCATGTTTCTTTTAGCTGCCTCTGTTCCCTCCAGCAGTCCACAGACATAAAGACAGTGAGAGAAAGACAACTTTGAGTTTTGCATGCAGACAGGTCAGCTTGGAGACAGACAGGTAGGCAGATGCTGAAGGTAGTTGCAGTATATTAAGCTCTCTACGCATTAAGGTAATGCAGGCATGTAGGGACAATTCATACAGACACCGACAGGTGTGCAGATGCTGGGAGGTACCTGCTAATTGCAAAAGATGGGATGCTAAGCAGTGGCTATGTTTTACCGTTTTCCTGCAGCAGTTTATTCCAGAAGGAATAAATCAACCATTGAAACCAGAATATATGATATGATTCTGTGGTCGATAAAAT